AACTTTTCGAAATATCAAACTTTGAAAATTCTCAAATAACAAATAAAATTTAAGACCTAAGATAGCAAAAAAAACGTGACTCTTGCACTAAAATTTAACTTAAGAATTGTACCACTCAACACTAAGCTTTTGAAGAAATGCCTAGAAAATTATAATCAGAATGCCAAATGAGTTTTGGGGAGAATTTAAGTCCTCTTCAATTCTCTCTCTTTACAAGATAATCTCTAAGAATTATTCTAAACGAATTCAGAGGACAATACCAAAGAAATGTGAAATTGAGTTGCTGGTAATTTTGAGAAGCATTTCAGGAAAACTGTAGGGAAAACCATAGGTGAATCCCAAGGTACTTCAGAAGAGATTTTTTTAAGATTATGGGCAGAAGACCAAAGAATTCTGAAGCAACTCTGAAGAATTTTCTGATAGCATTCTAAAGGAATGTGGGAGGAGAATTCATAGTGATTTAACCATACTACGAACTTAATTATGATATGGAAACAGTTCTGACACAACTCCTAATGATCCCTTAGGGCTTATAAAATGTCTAAAATGTTAATCAATCATTAAATTAATTAAAAATATTTCTAATGAGAATTCTCAGAGAATGTCGATAATAATTCCAAGAGAATCTAATGCTGTAGATAACTGAAAATAAAACGTGGCTGAATTTCAAACTGTAGATTGTTTTAAGGAAATTCATACAACAATTCGTAGAAATTTTGAAAGAATTCCAGGAGATTTCCAATAGAGATTCAAAGAGGAGATACCACAGCGAATTAAGATTTGTTTTGTTTATTAATTTATTTGATAGGGCTCAACCGAGTTAACTTTACATAGTCGAGGATTCTTGTTCACTATACAATACATCTTCAAACTATAGTCAAAAGGTACAACACAATAAACATTTTATCTTCCGCTATCCAAAAAGTCTCCTCCACCAGAACGGGAGCCGCTTCCAGTGGTTTCATTGTATGGCAAATTCACCAACGAGCGTCAGAGTGCTTCCATTGCAGCAATGGACGCAAAACGTGGTCAGCACTCACAAATTCATCGCGAAACGGTTGCTTTCGAAAGTCGACGACGCATCGACTGAAAGAACTGCCGATGAAAAACAATGTGGAGAATCACACAATGGTTGCTGCCGAGTAAACAGACGGTTGCGTGACACACATTGAGAGTGGTCTGCTTCTGTCGACACCCGAGTTAACACTGAATTTAGATTATTATTTCCAAAAAAATCTGAGTAGCGTTCCAGAAGATTCTGACTTAGAACAACATTTGAAGATAGTTAAAGTTGACAAAAAATTACGTTGCATATTAGTAGGATGATATGAATGTTGTGATTAATCCCCCTAAAAGTGAGATGAAACATATATGTTTTATCAAAGTCGAGATAGAGATATAACGTCTTTTGAAAAGTTATACCAAAAATTATTACAAACAAGTTTGCTCTAGACATAAAAGTCGTATATTTCACCTAAATCGAGATAGAGAGGGTTGTTTGAGGACGGACCACAAAAAACCCGTTTTTACCAAAACACATATTATCTTTTATTTTAGGTCTTCATTATGTTTAACAAAGTTGTTCGTCAAATTAAAATACACAACTTTCTAGATCAGACTATAACTGCATCATTAGAATACGATGAGTTATTGAGACATTTTCTACAATTTTCCTCATACTTTGGACTTGATGCAGATAGGTGCAGATAAAATCAAATTTATCTAAAACTACATAAAAAGAGCTTTAAAATGGAAGTAAACTCGTCCGTCCACGACCGTCTGCTGGGGAGTTGTGTTCAGTCTTGTAAGCGGTCACGGTAGTCGACACATTTTCTGTGATAATTGACTGCCTTTGCCTCCGACACTTGCAAAACAAGCTATCATAGTACAGTACCAAACTAAAATGTCATATGACAGGGTCTGTCATACGACACTGTCGCCGAAGACCGTCACGAATGTATGTATTTTAGTTTTTCTCATAATAAGAGCTACTGATGGTGTGCTTGCGTGAATTCTGAAAATAGCAAGCAATGATGTCCTGGTAATAATATTTCTGATCAGATATGGTTTGATTTACACCAAATTGAGGAATTACAACGAAATCACACATGTCATATGATAGCTATTTTGATAATTTTCTTTTAGCTCGAATGTTATTCTACCGCTCGTGTTGTGTGAGAGAGACGACGGTAGAGCATGAGTGTTCGAATACAAACAGACTGTCGCGCACGACAACGAAGCGAGTGTCAAAAAGTCGAATCTGTCCAAGTCTTTCGTTCAGAGAGCTAAGGACTGGGATGAACTGCATACGTACAAAGTGCAGATGGCTCCAAATCGTGACGAACGGCAAAATACGGTGGGAAAGCCACGGGCCCGGAAACTGTACACCCAGATTCTGACGAAGCCTCATTGTCTTATCATGGATGATGAGACTTACGTCAAGGCGGACTTCTATTCAGAAGCGTCTGCTACAGAAGCGTCTGATTCCTTTGTTGAAGCAACACGAGGGCCCTACGATCTTTAACCGGATTTAGCTTCGATTTCTGACGAGAGTGTTGAGTTCAAAGCAAATTTTGAACATAATGTAAAAGGAATTTATTTGTCAAAAAAGTAGAATAGGAATTTTAAGAAGGATTCTGCCAAACTTCTCTAAAATATTTTTTTAAGAAGCTTTTTTTAGGATCATTAAAAGCTTCTTCTAGAAGTTTATTTTAGATGCTTATTCTAGACTCTTGCCCGTCGTTCCGTTTTCCTGACTAAAAAAATAACACGGGCAGGACAGCAAATCAAGCTTGACGGATCAAAATTAAAAAAAATATTGTCGAAAACATTAATCATTTATGCCTAATATATGGATCATTCTTATATTTTTTTAAACGCAAACTTGATTTTCTATGGATCGATTTCATAAGTTTCTGGTTCATTGTTGAACATTTTATGGATCATTTGCAGTATGCTTATGGGTAATTCGTACAATTTTAAAGTTCATTCTTTAGAAATTGAGCGGTACATTTTTACAATTGTGTTGCTAACTTTCTTATAAAACATGGATCATAGTGACATTTTTTATGGATCATTCTCACTTTTTTAGGGATTTTAACCGGGGTTGTAAAGACTCATTTGTGTGATTTTTAAGAAATATTTTTCAATTTTTTATGGGTCGTTTCATCAATTTTAAAGGTGCATACTAAAGGCTGCCGTTTTATGATTCTCATGTGTTTTCAGACCATTTTTGCACATTTGAAGCCTTTTTTTGGACTAACTTGGGTAAAAGCTCAACTTTTTTTTATTTAAGAATTTTAACTTGTTGAATTTTACTTTGCAATTTTGGCGTTTTCAATGCCTCTTTTTTAGTTTCAGGCAATTTTGTAGTTTGAAGGCTTTGGTTTGGTTTTGGTTTTGGTTTTAAGGTCACTTTGACTTTGCAACATGTGTGTTTAATACCGGTGGATCACGAGCTTATGGAATTTCTCAAAGTGAGTCACAATCAGCAATAGTTTGAGAATCACTGTTCTAGGAGATTGTGATACGACTACGTTCTGAGCAACGATAGCAATTGCTCATATTCAGAGAAAGTCAGTCGCTTGCATAGCAACTCGCATTGTGCCCACCTTCCCACTTACGCCACCCACTGTGCTCGCGGTTTAGCTTTATAACTTATATCCTACAACGAAAAGTAAGCAATGGATGTTTAAAAAAATAAATCACCACAGAACATAGGGTAAGGTGCGATAATACGCACTACGGTGTAATATGACCTATAGGGTTTGTATGTGTGTTTATCGAAACAAATTCAAAGCTATTTCACACCGAAATTACTTGGTGAACTACTGAGCCATATTGTTTGGAAAACTGATCTCTGATGGCTCTGATGGTCATATTACCCCTTGACGCGTATTACACTCAGTTACCCCAATTTCTTCCAACCACCATGGGCGTGCGAAAGTTCAGGATACCGACGAAAACCATGCCGCTAACTTTTCTCGCTTTCATTCGATCGAAACATACGCATACACACACACAAACAGACCGGAGACTTTTAAGCTTGGTTGTTGGTTTCCGGCTCGGCTGGCTGACTTTCTCGACAGCAACAACCAAGCTTAATAAACTAAAAATCTTTATTAGCAAAGTTTGCTCTCCGTATGAAGCCGGCGAGACGCCTGGGCCTTGGTGAACCATTATTGTCTGTTGCTTCCCATAGTTCACTGCCAGCACAGCTCCACTCAGTACAACTGACGAAATCCGATGGTAGATAGGTTGCGATTAATGCGAGTGGGTAGATATGAGTCAAGTGAGGAAGAGGATGAAGCCGTGGGATGAGAAATGAATGATGATGAACAAGTTCCACCACTCCCTTGCTGAGCTTTCCAGGGCGCGGGGGTGTTTGTGACTTGCGATAGGGATGGCGGTGACGGCGGTTCCGTCTCGTATGGAACTTGCCTTGTTAGCATTTGGGGAAAAAAGCAGCAGAAGACGAAAGTAAATTTAACGGTAAACTAACCAGGAAATACAACGAACTCATAACCCAGGTAGATTGAAAAGCTGTCATAAACCAAAAACCGAGGAAAAATTGTGGAACCAACTTTCAGAGTTTGAACTTAATACAAATAAAGGAGGAAGAAAAGGCTTGTAGGAACTGAAACTGGAACAAGTGTTTAGAACGAACACACACAAATTGCAACAGAGAGAGAGATGAAGAGAAAGAAAATGAGTGAGTAAGTGAGTGAGATAGAGAGAGAGTTGGCGAAATGCAAACAGCCCTGAAAGAATGCCGCTTCCGGTTTTGGTCATTCAACCACGGTACGGAAACGGATTCTGATGTTTCGGATTTCCTCCCGAAATGGGGTTCGTGGTTGTTGTTTTATAAATACGGTATCCTAAAACAAAAAAACTTCGCGTCGGTTGGGAATTGAAAATTCTCACCAACATATGTACTTCTATGTTCAAACGGGGGAGGTGGGCTGAATAAAGGGCGGTCAAGTATAGTGGGGAACACTTACCAACGCAGGGATTATGGTTAACAACGCTAAATATTTTATCACATCTGCGCTTCATGTGGTTGTTCGGACAGATACACCCGAACATCGGCGATAATCGGAGATTAGTCCATGCTTCGTAGCACAATTCTCTGCACGGTCGTGGCACAGTTGATGTTGTAGTTGTAGATGTAGTTGTTGATCCGGAAGTTTGTTGTTGGTCGCGCGTACAGACAGATGGAAGAAAACAAGAAGACGAATGGCTTTGGTGAGATAACTCGGTTTTCGGTGCACAATCCCGATGCTGTTGGGGTTTTGTGGAATAGCTCCACAAAGTTGCCGTTCGGGGAAGGGCGGTATTTTCGTTCGGTTCGGTTACACTGCTTTCTTTATCATGCGGTTTACCGTTTCGGTTCTGGTGGTTTCATGGGTCTGCAACGGTGGGTGGTTGTGGGAGTGAGTTCTTCCGTTTGCTATGCTACGAGTGAACACTCAACTTTTTGGATTTTTTTTTTGGTTCGGTTCAGTAGAATGTCAGATACACGCTGAGATCATTAAACTTGAATCGACCGAAACCAGATAAACTCTAAATGTGATAGAGAAGAAATAGCTCAAATCCCCTCAAAGGAATGCGCATTTGATTAGTATTGTCGCATTAATGACCCTTCGCTCAATTTCAACTTCTGTTCAATTTTCACACCGCCGTACTCTAACGTAACTATCAGTCTATCCTCTTCAAAACTTTATCTAGCTAATAAATTATCACACTAAAGCTTTGTGTTGATATTAGAGCACTTTAGAGCAAGATACTAAAATGCATTTTTTTAGAATATCATAATTAGCAATTTGGCAAAGTTTGGTAGACATCGGTGAAATCAGTGCTGTTAATTTTCATATCACTCGATTGAAGATGAACTAATTCAACCATTCAATCAATTCTGTGAAAACAAATTCTCGCATGCCCATCATTTGAAGAGCTCCTTTCGCATTCGAGTCTCATCGTCACTGTCAATTGAGTCACTCGCTATCATTTGATATTCGACAGTGAAGTATGGAAGAAACCCATCAAAATGGTACCGAACAGACAAGTCGCCCCGATGTTGCATAAATGTAAGGCAAATTTAAGGTTGTTGTCGACCCAATGTTGGGTTGATGTGGGGTCTATTTTGGGTTTATGTCGGGTTAATATCGGATCAACATCGGGTTGAGGTTTGGTAGAAGTCAGGTTAGTGTCGGGTTGGCTTAGCGTTTTCGTCGGAATGTCGACCAGAGCTCCGTTTATGTGTAGGTTACACTCAATTGAATGATTTTTTTTTCCTTGATTTGTTTTCCGTCGATCTTGTTTTTCGTGCTGAGCACCACTGCTTCCGACGCCAGGGAGTCAGCTCCCACCCTTGGACCCTACCTATCGATCCATTAACTAATGAACCGGGGACCAACGGCTTTATTTCCCTTGCGAAGGAAGCCGTGATCAGAGATGTAATGCCTCAGAACATCCCGGCGGCACCGATTGGGATTGCACCCAGGCCTGCTGCGGTGAAAGGTAATCACGTTCACCACTACACCACCGGCGCCGCTACTTAATTGAATGATATCAAGCGTTTCTCAAATGAGAATGAACGATGCCTTCATCAAATGACTATCACCCACTTAAGCAACTGATTCGAAGGAGGTCCCCTTTGATAGCGGATAGCTGCTTTTCTCAGAATTTAAAAAAAGTCCAGACAATTTCACAGAAGTCCAAAAAACTTGAGAAAAAATGTGGGAACATTACAAAAAAGTAAGAGATGGTATCCAGGACACCACCGTAGGTTTGCCGTAGGATTAAGTGCACGGTATCAATATTCGGCGACTGTGTTAGGGAAAGCATTTTTCTCACCACGGAAACGCCTCGTTTTCTGATGATAAATTATGCATTTTCGTGCACACTACGCACGGAATTTTTGTTTTATTAAATGGATAATAAATAACATCAATCTTATAAATTTGAGATTGTTTTGCTGCTTTCCAGCGTTCTGGAGAAAACCTTGCAATAATTCGAAGTGTTTCTGGTTAATTTACAAGGCCATTGCGAGAATTTGTATGCACCACTTCAATACTATTACGCTTTTGGCCACAAACGTTTGGTTGCTGGGTACATTATCCAAAAGCCTTTGGGGGTGATGTGGCTGGCAGCAAGTTGAGCAAACGTTCAATGGAAATTAACTCATAAGCAACAATAATTTATGGTGGTCCTGAAAAGAACCCTTTTGTCGAGATGGTTGAGTAATGCTGAGGGTGTTCAACACAGATGTGGCTGGCAAGCTGTTAGTTGTTTGGAATGAGTGTGACGCGCTTGGCATAGATGACCCACAGCGATTCACGAAGAGCTACTGATTCAGATCAGTAGCGGTGCGCCTTCTTCCTCCGTCTTCGGTGAATGGTCACTCATGTGGTCTGCAGCTCGCTGCTTGCGGGCAGCCTTTTGTTGTGTACTGAATAACAATGTTCAACGGCACGCACCGAAAGTACTGCTGATGACGACAGACCGGACATCACCACACACGGTGATTGAATAAGCACCGTTCGGCGATACCGGATGGAATTCGATTTTGCAATCTGTACGCTTTTTACAAGCAATAGTGACCTATTGAAAATTGATAAAGTGTTAATTTTAGTAGATTTGTAGAAACATTTCCAATTTATTGGCTTGTTTAGAATTAAGATCCATCCGCTATTGAAAGAGTTATAAGTGGTCAAACCATGGCCACTTTTCGTAACGCGGTCAATTTTGGTTTTTTTTCAAATTGCACCCTCAATATGTTGCCGAAAGACGTAATCCTACGTCAAAAGGTCCACAAGGTTAAGGAAGCTTACAGATCTTTAGAGCAGTTCCGATTTCTTCAGGGAAGTTCCGAGAACTTAACGATAGTCTGAACTTTTGGGGTGGTTTAAAGACCTCCAAGGGTGAGTTGAGAATTTTAGAAAACATCAGAAAGAAACAGGAATTTAATAGAAGACCAGGGAACAGGGAACCTAATGAAAGTTATAAGATGTTGGGGGACAGTTTCGATAACTTCTGGGCATGATTATTGCGAGTACTTCAGGAAAGCTCCAAGAGCATCAGGAAACATAAAAATACCTCAGAGTAGATCCAATAACTTCAAGTAATTTGCAAGAGCTTTATAGCAGTTCCGAGAACCTCAACAAATTTGGAACATCAAGATAATGTGGGTTTAGCGGCACCGGTGGTGTAGTGGTAAGCGTGACAACCTCTCACCTCAAAGGGTCTTGGTTCAATCACAGTCGGCGCCGTTGGGATTTTCTGAGGCATAACATCTTTGATCACGCCTTCCTTGGAAAGGGAAGTTTGGTCCCCGGCCCATGAGTTGATGGGTTGATTGGTAGGGTCCTGGTGCGGGAACTGCCTTCCTGGCGTTGGTGGCATTAGTACTCAGTATGGGAAATAAGATCGACGGAAAACAAATCAAAGGGAAGTGCAAACAAACTCAGGGAAGTTTAGAGATTTTGAAGAATGAAGAGAGTAAAGCTCAGATCTTTAGTGTAGTTACAATAACTTCAGGGAACCCATAGTTACAACAACTCCTGGAAAACCTTCTCTTTCAGGGTAGCAAAGATCTTATAGAAATAGTTTCTATAAATTTAGGGCAGTTCCATGAATTTCTATAACATTTCTAGAACATCACTGACAATTTTGGAACCGCGTAAATTATAGGGATTAATAATTTCAGGAAAATCTACCCTAGGGAAGTCCTGATCATTTCAAGGATGTCCAAAGAACTCCAAAGAAGTTAAGAAAGCTTCAGAAAAGGCTAGGAAACTTCACAGAAGCCCAGCGAACTTAAAAAATAGTCCCGAGAATCCCTGACAAATTACGGGACATAAAAAGAAGTTCCATGAGTTCCTGAAAAATAACGGAAGCGTCAGAAAATATTGGTATTGGAAAAATCGCGACAGCTTAAGAGAAGGTCCCAAGACATCTAGTAAATTTGGGAAACTTCTGAAAAATTCACGGAAGTTCAAAAAAGTTTGGCTAATTTGGTTAGCATACATCAGGGAAGATCAAAAAAACTTCAAGACAGTGCTATTAACCAATTGAGGGAGCTCTTAGGAATATTTTAGATTTTTTGTTTTCATAATAAAAATGTCTTTGGGTTTTTTAATCGTCCGGAAATTCAGATCTTGATGATCTACAGACCCAACCAGGTATTGAAGTCTGTCTTTATTTATGAACCAACAGAGCTTTATTTGGAATATGCATGAGCAATTCCATGAAAAAAAGTACATCTGAAAAAAAAATGCTCAGATTTCGCTCAAACCTTTTAAATTTGTTACTTAATGATACATTTTAGGCTTGTATTTTTAATTTCCTCTTAAGAGTGCACCTTCCTGGGTAAGGGTGGTCCAAAATATCGACAATTTGGCTATACACCACGCATTGAAAATTCATAACTTTTTAACTACTGGAGCGATTTCTGATCCTTATTCAGCAAATGAAAGGTGCCTAAAAGGGCAATCTAGAAAAAAAAGCTCAAGTTCAAATGAGTTTGAATATACTTAAAAAAAAAAATTCTAATTTATTTCACAGTACCGAGACTATGTCAGGTTGCTCAACCCCAAATTTTGGATCAGGTCAAAATTTTCTCCTGCTCGGATAGAGACAGACTACAATACCTCCTTGAGTCTGTAGATCATGAAGATGGGAACTTCCAGACGATTAAAAGACACAATGACAATTTATTATATACAAAATAAATCTTAAATATTAGCGTCTCAAGTCTAAATTTGCATAGATTTCAAAATTTAATTAGCTCTAAAACATAATTTCTCAATCTTTTTCTTCACAATAAATTGCATTTTGTCGGGAATTTAAGGAAGTTTTTGAATCCATCTGAAAACATTTGGATCAATACATGGTTCCGAAGCTATTCCAGTTCCCGTTGGGGTCATTTTTGGTCGGAATTCGCCTTTACTGTTCTGTAATAAGGATATATACGATGAACGTTATATTTTTTCTCTCAAAAGATGTAATCCCGGGAATGTTCCGGTACCCCCGGGGAAGTGGCCAATTCTCAACAAGAACCAAAACCTATCGTGCGACATATCAAACTTCATGATTTTACAAATCTTGGCCAGTAATGGCCTGATTTAG